ATGCTAATGTTACTAAATAAATATACAAAAAGTAGTATTAAGTAATGTAATATATATACATAGTTTTTTATGACGTACATCTTCTTCAGATGCAACTATAGAAATTTTTCCTCTTTATCTTTAGGATTATACATATGTACTTATGTTCTTCCTTTCTCTTGTTGTTAGTCATGCATCATGGATTTTTCCCATGTTATCGTTCTATATCTATACTCGTTAGATTGTTGCGAAGGAATTGGAGATAAATATATATAAAGTACAAGTGGAATTAAAACCTTTCGAATCCTATTGAATAAAGTTGATATTAATGTATTCATTGATTCAATGAAAATCAAACTTTTAAAATTTCAATGAAAGAAATATGAAATAGATAGAAACTCTATAATACTCCTACACTGACAATTTTCATTCTCAAACAATTCTATTCTATTTCTAAAGAATTACTTACATGCAGTTTCTTGTGCTTCTTCAGTTGTTCGATTAACTTTAGCTCCTAAAATCAAATTTATTGTTTTGTTTTTTTTCTTTTAAATTTATTTCAATAAATAAAAAACAAAATTCTACCTTTTGAAACAAGTAAATTAACAATTTCATCATGTCCTTCTCTACTTGCTAAAAAAAATAAAAACAATACAATTAAAAATTATTTTTAAAACTATACAACAAACCTTCCATTAATGGTGTATAACCTTCATCATTAACTTCTTCTAAATTTGCTCCACGTTCAATAAGTAATGAAGCCAGTTCAAAATGACCACCACATGCACTTAATGTTAATGGACTTTCATAACTATCTGGTGGCATATTAACATCAGCACCATGATCAAGTAATAATTTTGCTACTTGAACATGACCATCCATACATGCTTCCATTAAAGCTAACAAAAAAAAAAGTAAGAGAATTTATTAAAAAAATTTTTCATTTTTACCTGTATGTAATTCATCGGTTTTATTACCATTTTCTAAGACAAATTTTTTTTTTCTTTTAAAAGAAAAACAGATTAAAATAATATGATCTTACTATCTTTAGATTGATTATTAGTACCAGCACCATGATCAAGTAAAATTTGAGTAACTTCTACATGTCCACCACCTGCTGCTTCCATCTAAAACGAATACAAAAAAAAATATATATATATATGATAAAGAATTTAGGAAAATTTTACCAAGGGTGTATGACCATTTTCATTAGTTTCTTCAACTTTTGCACCATGTTTAAGTAAAAGTCGAACGATATCGATATAACCCTTTACAAAAAAAAAATAATAATAACAATAAAATTTTTTTTTCTGAATTTTTCGTTTCTCTCTCTTACTCCTCCAGCTGCATAATGTAATGCTGTATTTCCAGATGTTGATTGTATATTTACATTTGCTTTATTTTTTATTAAAAGTTCAACAATTTCATAATGACCAGCATTACAAGCTTAAAATTACAAGAAAAAAAATTTAATTTAGAAGACTTTTTGTTTTTTTATTATTCTTAATCAAACCTTCCATTAATGGTGTACAATCTTGTTTATTTCCTCTATCATCAACAGCAATATCTGGTATAGTACGTAATATAAGTTCAACTAAATCTGTATAACCATTTGAACAAGCTAATGATAATATACTATCACCATCTTCATTAATATCATTTAAATATTCTTTTATATTTTTTGTTTGAAGTATTTTTTCAACTGTATGAAGATCATTATTTACACATGCACGAAGAAGTACACCGGAATCTTTATTAATTAATTTTGATTTTTTTTCATTTTGTAATGATGTTGTTGTTGTTGATGATGGTATTGCTGTTGTTGTTGTTGATGATGATGATAAAACATTTGCTATTTCATGTAGACCATTAAAATTATTTGTTACACTACTTGTTAATAAACGTACAACTTGTTGATCACGCCAAAAATCTTCTGGTATAGGAGAATTTGTTATACCAGTTGCTTCAAGAATAGCTGCTAATTTTGCTTGTGTATCAGGATCAATTGGACCAATATCTATATCATCATTATTATTATTATTTAATGATAAATGTGAATGAGAAATAAATGGTGATGGAATTTCATCGTCTTCATCAGCATCTTCTTCTTCATCACTTGTTTCATCCTAAGAGATAAAATGAAAATTAATTATATATATACATATATATATGTTTTTTTCTTTTTTAAATAATAACTTCAATATCGTCTTCGTCGTCAGTAAGCATTCTATGATTATGATGTGAATAACGTGTTAAACCAACAGATATTATTGAAACGTCAGTTAAATCAGTTGATAGATCTTGTTTTGAATTATGTTTTAATGTTTGATCAGTTACTGAGGATGTCCGAGAAGTACTTTTCATATGGAAAAAAAACTAATTGTTCATGCTAAAATTTATAGAAGAAAAACCAATCATAATCAAATACTTGTTCAATAATTTTGATACCGATTATGGAATCGGTCTCATAGTGTGAGAAAGAGAGAAAACAGAAAGATATAAAAAACCTACAATGAGAAGTAGATATACATAAGGATGAGATATAAACATAAATAGACGAACGATAGAGGGTACGCAACGTAGAGTAACATCAATAATGCTGGACAACGAGCTGATATACTATGGATTGGGAATTGCTTGTTTTCTACCATTGCCATATTATTATTACCAGAAAATTAACCATACGGATTTCATCTTGAATTAATTGTCAAATTTGATAAATTTATGAAATTAAATAATGTTAGGAGTTCTTTTTGAACAGGATAAGTTTGAAAAATCGAAGCAAAAATTTTTACATAGATGCCGCTCGTTATCAATGTATGCAGAGATCACAAGGCACAGTGTCAAGGTGGATAGACTTCGTACTTACTGATAATTTTCAGTGCTGTACAAGAGCATGATGGAAATTTTTTTTTTTCGCAAACTTAATAAAACTTTATAAATGTCCGATATATTTGTATTCATTTTTATGCTTTAAATTTTGAATAGATTCTATTTTTCTATGGAAAAAGAATATTATTCCCGATTTCAATTCCATTCGAAATTCTGTTGTTTGAAATAGAAAACTACGGAATATATAATAAGAAAGTATCAACATAAAATAATTTTCGAAGATGAACTTATACAGTGAACAATTCCAAAATTTATTAATTTTCTCAAAGATACGTTTTCAATAATCTAACTTCATTTTTACAGGTGTTATTTTAATATTAAATTTAATTGTCAGGTTATAAGTCTAAAGAATTATTTTATCTAAAACTTTCAACATTTTCTGTAGTGTAGTATATATGCCACTTACAATTGAAATTATTGTAAAAATTGAAGGAAAAAATCTGTATGTCAGGATATTTCCATTCTTTTCTGATCATTTCTGGTTCTCGAAGAGGGTACAATGGATCTGCAGGAAATTTCTACAACAGAGAACACCTAAAATGAGTAGACACGTATTCGAGGAAAAAAATTTTAAACTAGATTTTCGCAATTTTTCTCGGGAAAACTCTTGTTTTCCATAGGACTACATCGGGTACGCTTATAATTCCGGTCAAACTTTGTCTGATGAGGTTGAAATTTCGGCGACAAATACTCGGAAGTATTCTCCAGAGATGAAATCGACTGTTTTCGTTTTTCAACTTTCTATCCAAATTTATAGAACACTGAACTCCAGTACCTCGATTTTGGATCCAAACCATTACGTATTTCTCTCATAAAAAAAAACAAGAAATCAGATTTTTAAAAAAGGTTAAGGTATCTTCAAAAACATTTTTAGCTTCATTGGACGAAGTCAAACGTGGTTTGTAAGCAGGTATGATATGGTCGTATGGAAAAACTACGGAAACCTTGTTTAAATTTCTTTTCTTCGAACACGTGTCTGCTTATTTTAGGTGCTCTATCTATGGTGAAAACTCTATACAGATCAGTTGTACCCTCTTCAAAAGCCACAAAACGATCAAAAACAAGAAAGTGCCCTTCAATATCATGGCTTACATACAGTCAAGTCTATTTTAAGAAAAAAATGGTCCGATTCTTTAGACATACTTGTATGTATTGAGAATACGTTTTTGTTTTTGAATACATAGATTGTTAGATATTATGAATGAGATGATTTTGTTTATTCAACAATAATCACTCAACAGTTTGTACAAAGAGCCGATTAAATAGTCATTTATTATCTACTCAATCTTTTTCTTTTTTGTACTATAAGAATTATCATTCATTACAATATTTAGACGTATCAAACAGCGTTTTTTTTGTTCTCTTCGACTTTTCAACACTTTGAAAATTCAATTATCACTATCCAATCTCTTTTCGCTTGCACTTCGTTTTTTAAAATTTGTTAGTTAAACAATAAAGATAATGAATCATCTCCAGTTTTACTAGATCGTATTATTTCACACAATCAACTGTTTTTTTTTTATCGTTAGAAAAGATAAAACTCATCAATCTTGTCTTAAAATCGAACGCAAACAATTTAATTTTTACCTTCATGCTAGGTCCTTCGAGGTTGACATTGATATTAATTGCAAATACAAAATTGTTTCATATATTACTACATAAATGACTAAATATTCTAACAATGTACTTTTCAATAGTTATTTTTGTCAATCAAGATCTTCATTCAACTAGAACTGATGAAAATTTTTGTATAAAATTCTTATTTCCTTTATAAATCGTAGCAAGAAGATATGGTACATTTCAAAAAATCTAAAGACCTCAAACAAATGTGTGTTCTTTTTTTCTTCTTATTTGTATCTTTATATTTCGAAAAGATGAAGCAAGATACTCATATACCACGTACTTAAATATATGTTTGTGCAAGAACGAATAATACACGTATCCACATTCTCAGGTAAAGACTCATGTGCCAACACGAAAAAAAAAAAGAAAAAAGAAAAGTAATTTCTCTCTTCTCCCTATTTATTACCTATTCATTCCAAAACTATTGAAAAAAAAAAGAAAATAAAACGTACTTCTGAGTCATTTTTCTTTTTAACATTTTAGCAAAGACAAAATATTTTGTTTTCATGAAAAAAACTACAAGCAAATTCAACGAAAAAACATCTCTTTTTACAACATTAAATGGTAAGAAAAAAAGCAAAACATGTTTTGTTTTTTTTTATAATTATTGTATCCTATTTATTTAATAAATTAGAAAAAGATGATGATAATGATGATGATGATGATAAATTGAGTGTCTTCGATTTAAAAATACCAATTGAATGTTGTAATGATAAATCTAATGATAGTCTATGTCGAATTTTAACATTAACTGATGTTACTCAAGCATTAAATACAATGGAAATTCGTCAAAATTTATCTCGAAAAAGAACAAGTTCCTCTGACAGTGATATATCAACAATGTTACCCGAACAAAGTAAATTGAAATCAAATGAAGGTTTTTTTTAGATTAGTATAATCAAATATTTTACTTTCCAACGTTGAAAATATTGATTTCAGTGAACTTCACGCCATTACTGATAAGATTGTATTGTTTTTGTGTAATCAGAAAAATAAAAGTAAATATTTTACAAATGTTAAGATGGGTTATATGAATAGCTGAATACCTGAAAAATAAAATTTTAATGTTTGTGACTGATAAGAATCAAAATTAATAAAAAAAAAAGAAACAAAAAAAAAGATCATATCTTATGTCGGTTGGTTTTTATCTTTATCAATCGAAAGATAATTATTTTTTTTTCCCACATTAAAAAACATGAATTTTCTTTGAACTTACGATAAAAAAAATCTTTCTTTTTAACTCTAGAAATCTTCTTTTTTTCATTTTAAAACAAATTTATTTTCTTATTCTTGAACAGAAATTCAATCAACTATTGAATATAATTGTTGTCATCTCGTTCGTTCCGATAAATCCTCTCGCTTATTATTACCATTAGCACGTCGTGGTCGTCCACATATATCATCACGAACTTCACATTTATTATGTAAAAATTGTTCGAAAATTAAACAAAAACAACAAAATGATATTCTTCAAAAAAAACAAAAACTTCATCATAATGATGAAACAAATTCAATGACTATATTTGACACAATAACAGATTTAGATAAAACAGATGAACAAGAAAATAAACATCAAATGATGATACATGATATTCCACATGAAATTGAATTTTCATTAATAAACGATAATGAAAAAATTCATACAAATAATTCTGAATATGGATCAGCTCAAATGCTTGTTTGGAATATTAATACATCAGATAATCATAATCAAACAAATACAATTAATGTTTCTTATGATACTGGTTCATTAACAGATAATGAAAAAAAAAATTTACTTCAAGAAGCTATACAAAAATTACAAATTGTACTAAGCAATCGTCCAACGTCAACAACAACTATACCAGATATTGATTTAGACAAAATTGAATTTACTTATCGGGCTTTACAAACAACAGTTAATATTCTTTCATCATCAGTTGATACACTATAAAATCCAAGAAACTTAATAAAAGGAAAAAACCAAACACCACAATACTTATGATTATTATGAAAAAAAAGTTTATTGATGTAAAAGAGACTAAATAATAGGAAAAATAAAAACGAAATCTCGTTTTATAGTACTGAAAAAGAAAATTACAGTACAGTGCCTTATTTATGTATATTCAAAATTGCATCATTCTTTTTCGTAAACAGGACATATATAAAACCAATCTAGATTACGATATATAAATATATTCGTTGTTTGATTTTTCTATCTAATGATCGAACTATTCTTGACAAGATAACGAACGTTTACAGCGAATAGGAGATAGTAAAAGATCTACTTTAAATTGATGACAACATAATATCAACTTTTTATTCAATGTATCTTCAACATTCGTTTTCCTTTACTACAGTTCAATGTTACATTATCCTATATAAATATAAATTGGACAAGTCAATGATTTCTTTTTTCTTTATATCTGCAGGCATATAAGAAAAGCAAACTAAGATTGTTTAATTAATTTCACTTGAATAATTTTCTTATTTTTCAAGATGATTAAAGTAAAATTTTTATTTTCTAAGTAGTTACCTTTTGAATTGATCAATGTAAATACTTTTCGTGCAATAGTTTATCTTAAATTTATTTCTGAATAAACAAAATTCTAAAAAATAGAAAACACTAAAAGTTAACGTATTATATTGCACGATTAATAAAACGACAATAATAACGAAAAAAATATTGTCATATATAATGATGAATATTGTATTTGACCTGTATCAAATGCATTTTGAAGTAAATATGATGCTGATGAATCATGTTGTCGTGGTAATCGATGCAATTCTTCTTCTAAAAATAAATTATTCCATTAATTATATAAATTATTTATTTTTTTAATTTTTTTTAAACTTACTTGTATGTCGTCTGACTAATATAGTAGTTTCTTTTTCATCGTATTTACATGTAAAATTAGCTTGAATAAAATTTTTATATTTTTTACTTAAATAAATATTAAGACGTTGTGTATTCAATGATATTATTTCAATATCATAATCATAAATATCATTATTTAATAATTCTCCATTAATAAACCAATTGAAATTCTTTAAATTTATTTCTACATTACATAACAATGAACATGTTATTGAAAAAGTTCGATTAACCGGATAGAGAAGTAAAGGTGATGATGGAGATATATGTGGATGAGCTAATCATTCAAAAAAGAAACATCAAACTTTCAAACAAAAAAAAAAAAGAACGCACACACACACACACATACATTCAACAAATAATTTAATATTACTATGTTGACCACTTGAACTTGATTTACATGTATAAATTCCTTGATCTTCAAGTGAAACGTTATTTATTAATAAACGTGATATTGATGATGATATAAGATTAAAACGACCTATTGTTGCATATTCTGGAAAAAGAATATCACCAATAGCAATAAAACTTAAATGTGATTGTGATGAATTTGGACGAAACCAAGAAATCTATTTAAAAAAGAAAATATTAAATTTTATTTGGATAATTTTTTTTTTTGCTTCTTTCAATACATACTACATCATCAGATTTTTTTTTAGAACTTATTGGACATGTAAGTTCAATATCAGCTCCACATGTAACATGCATTATTGAACCATGAACTATAAGTTTAAAAACAAAAAAAAATTATGATTATGATTATATTTCCCTTTAGAATTTAATTTCTACTTACTTGTAAATGATAATGATAGTAATATGATCGAATAGACAATGACTAAATCAGAAATTTTTTGAAATAATAAATTGATATTGATGTTCGACATTATTATTGATGAGAATCTGCCACATTGCGTCTGAAATAATACATATACAATACACTAGGGAGCTTGTATTGTCTCGGGCGTGATTAACTTTTTAGTATAGTGTGTAGACGTCATTTAAATTGCTCTTTCTTTCTTTCTTTTTTTTTTTTATTCTCTCTGTCTCTTCTCTCTTTCTCTCTGGTTGCTACACAAACATATAAGCACGCCCCTGTTCAAATTTCGATTTTGTCGTTGTCGTTTGATCGCTTTCTTCTCTCAATCAAAATCTCATTTGTTATTTGGCTACTACCTACATATTATACGAGACGATATGATGTTAACCCTGATATCGAATTAGTCTACCTTGGTCAAGTGAGCGTATAGACATGTATAGATTTTTATTCACCTACTGATTTGATTATGTTCATATCGATAAGTCATTTTAACAGACTATTATAATATTAAAAAAAAAAAAAGACAAGAAAAATACTTATTCATTGTCATACACATATTTTGAATCGTTCATTACTCTTTTTTTTTTGCTATTCCTTTTTCTAATGATGAGACAATTAATTGATGTGTATATATAAATGAATGTTTACACGAAATTTGATTCTTTGTTACTTTTGCCATATGTCAACAACAGAAAAAGATAGAACAACTGTTCAGTCTGTCTCATCTTTACATATATATTCTCTCATGGATTCAAAGAGCAGACATAGATCGACCAAAAAGAAAAGGAAAATCATAAAGAGTCAATTCTTTTGTCACTATTAGTATTTGAACATTTTATTATACAAAGTGAAAACGCATAACACCTCTCATATATAGACAAAAGATTCTTTAATGAGACAAGTCAGAGTGAAAGAAAGAATAAAAAAAAACAATTATTCTTATATTATTCCAGTTAAATTAATGATGACAAAGAAAATGAGGACATCTAGTTAGATCAATATGAATGATGATGAATGGCATATGGTTTTGTAACGATATGAAAAGAATAGGATTTTGTTTCATATGATGGATGTCTGAACATTATACACGTGTTCATCTTATGTGTATATATATATGCTCGTGAATCCACTAACAGCATTCGTGATGCAATACATATATATAAATAAGTCAAGCCAAAGACATGATCAATCATCACTCATAGAAATGGACTTTTCTTTTCTTTTTTCTTCTCTTCTCTATATGTTTCTCTTCATCTTCTTTTTTTTACAATTCAAATCAAATGTTTGAGTATGATGGCGACCAATGTATGTCATCAATGCAGCAGATTTCCTTTCACAAAAACAAAACCTAAATATATGTCATTTCTAATCGACGTGCAATCGAATGGTGTTGTATTCATACATACATACTTGCATAATAAGTAACAGCTCGCTCTTGTCTTCTCTTTCTATGAGTATATGTACATACATATATATATATATTATATATATATATATGAAATAAAAAGAGAAGAGTCAAATTCAATTCATATCATCAAGAGCAATTATCATGCTCAATCAATTCAATTGTTCATCATCGATTGACTTCTATCGTTTTTCTTTTTTTTCATTCTCTCCTTGCCTGTCTGTCAGTCACGGTAATGCACATAAATACAGATCAGACTATCTTTGATAAATATGTATGAAAACGAAAAGTGTCAACTTAGTTTTTGTCACCAAAAAAACAAAAACAAAAAAAAGAAAAGGAAAATAACTTACTTCGAAGAAATAAAATATAAATTGTCACTTTTGCAACCTTCACATCAACATTGTTAAGTACTGCCTATGTCGTTTCCGGTTGTAGCCACTCGATGGATAGAAAGAAATATATATAGATATAGATATAGAGATGCGTATCCTGTGTGTTGATAGTTCTATAACATTTTTGTTAGAGTCAGTTCGAAGAACATTTTGATGATAGCGTGCTGTTGTAGCTATCTAGCCGGCGGAGAGCTCAAACAACAAAAAGGAAGAAGAATAAGAACGTTGTGGACTCGTTCAGTCGAATTATGAGAGATGATGAGCAAAAAAATGGACGCACGTTTCTCTAGTTCTCGATTATGTGTCAAGAGACACAGAGAGAGAGAGAGAGAGAGAGAGAGAGAGAGAGAAAAGGCACAAAAAAGTGCGTGAGAGAGAACAATGTCTTTTCTCTTTCTTTGAAACTTACAATGAAGGTAATTCACACGTTCTCAAAGCCATTTTTTCCTTTCTCAGTTAACTCAACTAACTGCAAATGTGATCGTATTCACCTGAATGAGCTAAAAGTCTTTTAACGAAAGACGGAAACCAAGAAACTTCCGATAAGGAGTGACGGTTATCTCCGTTACTTCAATTGTAAAAAAAAATCAAAATCATTTTCTGCTTAACTTTTTTCTTTTTTTTCTATTCTGTCATTCTCTTCTTATAGCAATGAAATGTTAGAATATTTTTTCAATCAATTGAAGAATAACAGAAACAAGTGATTCAAACATAAAAACTTATAAATGATAAAATTTTCAGTTCACGAAAAAAGGCAAAAAGAATCTAATGATGGACTTGCAATCATATAATATAAATTTAAAAGAACCATTTGCATTGAATATTGAATGAATTCATGAAAAATCAACACAAGTAGGTGTTATTTATTGTAACTTTTCATTAAGATATTGATCGCATGACTCGTTCTTCTCAATGATTAATCTTGCTCACAATAGGAGAGATTACTGGTGAGAATGGATGAGTCGCTATGAAGAATGCCTGCCCGCCCCTGTGTTTAGAACACTACAGTCATGTCACGACATGATGCCTATTATGGTATGCTTACCTTTTCTATGATGTAATATAAGATACTGATGATTTCCTTGTTGCTATTGCTGTGTTACTGTTATCCACATGTGTATATATGTGTGTGTCTTATTATGTTTTCTCTTAAGGCTTGATAAGAGCAGAAGAGGAAGAAAGAATGAACGAAGGAATTTGGTTATATACATTTATTACTTAATTGATAATTACGATGCGAACAAAATATAAGATAAAATTCTAGTCAACATATTATTGATTGAAGATAATGCGGAACACATGTCTAATTTGTTTGTCATTGGTTTTTTTTTTTTTTTGTATCTATTCATTTGATTTTAACTAGATCTAATATAAAGATAGAATAATTCTAAATTGAAATTAAATTATATCATGAACATATAAAATCAATAAAAAGTATGTCAATTGATTGAAAATAAAAATT